TCACTGTTCCACCTGTCACTGTTCCACCTGTCACTGTTCCACCTGTCTCTCTCAATCTCATTCACATACATTTACAGACATTCTGTCTTGCTACTGATTATTTTTAAATCATTTTTTCCACATCTCCAGACTCTCTTCCACCTCCTCCCCACTTTCCTTACAAATCAATTGTGTGTGCAAACATCATTCTTCATGAAGACACTCATTAAAGGTACAGGTATTGGTCTTTTAGTTTGCATTTTAATGACAACAAAAGAAGTGGAACTAATCTGTCATTGAAACAGGATTATGTGACAAATTCCTTAAAGATAAAATCTTTAATCTTTAATTTACTCTTGTTTAGATGTAGTTTCTGTAATTCTGGAGCATTCTGGATGTTTTTAAACACTTTGATTATTGGGTTGGTCGTTATTGTCCAGTAATCCCACCAGACTACCCTGCCAGGGCACACAGTACAGTGACTCTGCCTCTGAACATTTGCCTTCAGTCTCAAAACTTTCCCACGGTTTTGAGCTTCCAGCAGTCACATCCCAGTGAGATCCTGGTTTAACCACCAACAAATCCTAAGAAATGTGAAATTATTGAACCATGAAAATCAAACATGCTTTTAAAAACATTAAAGAACAGTTTAATCCTGTTTTTCTTTATTCAGTTGTAGCTTCATATAGGGGGAGTGGAGGTGCAGAGGTTAGAGAAGGCGAGCCCGTGACCAGAAAATCGCCGGTTCGACTCCCCAGACCAACAACATCAAAATGTGGGTGGGAACGGTGAAACACCCAGACCTGCCTCCACCCTCATTTGCCCCACTCTGGGCCCTTGAGCAAGGCCCTTAACCCCCACCATGTGCTCCCTAGATGGCAGCTCTCTGCTCCACACAGAGGGCTGTGGTAGCTCGGTGTGTGGTTGTGTCAGGAAGAACAGCCAGTGTAAAAACAATCACCAAGTCTTTGTGCGAGTTAGTTCACTGTGGCGACCCCTGAAGGAGCAGCCTAAAGAAGAAAACTGTAGTTTCATATAAATGTCCAACTATATGAATAAGTATTGGCACGGTTTGTCTCTGAGAAAAAAAATAAGATTTTTGCAACAATAGAGTGATTGTTTTTTATTTTTCAATCCAAAAAGCATGAACTCCCTGCAGATCTGAGTGACTCGCATCACTGTGAGCATTAATGTCGCAAGACATGGATCTTTATTTTAAAGTGATGCACAGATCTTCCAGTCATACCAGCATCAGAGCTAACAAAGAGAGAGGCACTTCAAGGAAAATGAAAACAACTGAGCTGAAACAGCAACTATTTATCTCACACGCAGTGACTCAGAGTGATGAGGACAACTACACCTTCATCATCACAGACGTAGAAACAAATCTGATGTTTGCGTCACTGAAGCAGCTCGAGCAGCAGCTGGACCGACAGGGCAGGTGAACAGAACTGCTGAACGAAAGCTTCCAGTGACACCAGTCTCTTTCATTCAGGCGCCCATCAGTGTATTTTCTAATAGATATTTTAGTCTGTAAAGAAAAATAAATAATTAATTAAATTGTTTAATGTGTAAATGGACTGTATCCTGATGCATGCTCAATAATCCAGGTAGAAAAATCTAAAAAAGTTAAATCTGGTCCTCTGGACATTCAAAAAACAAAACAAAGCAAAACAACAAAAAAATGTAGAAACGTTTCGTCGTTCATCCGAGGGACTTCCTCAGTCTGAGGAGCTGTATTCAGCTCAGTCTCTTAAATAGCACCTTCTCAGAGTGGATCAACCAGAACCAGCTGATCACATGGTCAAGGCTGATGGTCCTTCTTGATCATGTGAGCAGCTGGTTTTGGTTGTCAGCAGCAAACTGGTTGATCCACTCTGAGAAGGTGCTATTTAAGAGACTGAGCTGAATACAGCGCCTCAGACTGAGGAAGACTCTCGGATGAGAGACGAAACGTTTCTACAATTTTTTTTGTTTGCTTTTTTGAATGTCCAGAGGACCAGATTTAACTTTTTTGGACTGTACTAACATCACACCTTTCTATCTTATTTCAATATACTCAAAGTTCTTTACAACAATCTGTGCCTCATTGACCCGTTCATACAGCTCTATACTAGATCTCTACAAAGAGAATTGAACAAATCATTCTAGAGACTAATCAGTGCTTTAGATCACATTCATACACTGATGGGACACACATCAGAGGCTATGAGGGGTTCAGTGTCTTGCCCAGGGACACTTCAGCATGTAACTGCTGGTGGAATTGAACCCCCAACTCTCGCATTAGAGGACGACTGCTCTAACCACTCAGCCACAGCCGCCCCATGTGTGGCATCGTGTGCGCCGCGGTATGGCAGCGCTGACAGGAGCTCCACTAGACTCGCTCTTTTTTTTGTTCCTTGTTGATTTAAACTTTTTTGCGCCTATGTAGGGAGAGAGGGTCTTCAGGGTCAGGTTTTGACCGGAGGCTTAGTTCACTACACCTACACTGCACACCCACGCTACGGCTTTGACCGCAACGAACGTTTGGAGTTTTGTGTGTTGCTGCCTTGTCATCGTGCCATCGTAGTTCAGTTCCTGGCCCTCTTCCCGCCTCGGGCTCAGGCTCCGGCCTGTCATGGCGGCTGGCTCCATGATCCTACATCGCTCTCTGAGGTCAGCAGATCAGATGCTCCTGTTGGTTTCAGGAGCCCGTCTTGAGCTCAGAGGTGACAGGGCCTTCTCTGTTGCAGGTTCAGAGCTGTGGAGAGAGTTACCACTGCATGTCAGGCAGGCCCCCTCCCTCGCTGTTTTTAAGACTCACTTAAAAACCCACTTTTACTCCCTGGCTTTTGACACTGCAACTTTGTTTTTAACCTGTCTGTATTCTACAATGTTAGCCTTTTAGTTATTACTGTATCTTTTACCATTTGGATCCATGTATTTTTTTTGCTGTGTGCTTTGCTTGTTGTTTCTGATGTATGTCACTTTTTATCATTTATTAACCTTTACTTAACCTTTATTTAACCTTTATTTAACCAGGCAAATCCCACTGAGATCACAGATCTCTTTTACAAGGGAGGCCTGGGTCTGAAGGCAGACTAACATGCATGTTTTTGTCTGTGGGAGGAAACTGAAGTACCCGGAGAAAACCCACGTAAGCACGAGAAGAACGTGCAAACTCCACTCAGAAAGACCCCAGGTCCAACTGGGGATTGAACCCGGGACCTTCTTGCTGTGAGGCAACAGTGCTAACCACTTAGCTGTCGTGCTGCCACTTTGGTTGGCCTTGTCGTTGTTTTAAGTGCTTTATAAGTAAGTGGTATGGTATCCTCCATCTGCCTGCACGGACAGAACTCTACAGAACAGTTCAGTTCCACGGGGAAACTTTGGATGTTCTGTGTCTGCCAGACCCGATGCTGGAGGGCAGTCATCGTTCGTTGCCACGGTCGTTATCATCATCATGCTGCAAACTGGACCATGTTGCTAAGAGAACCTCACTGCCAACAGAACCACTCTGCTAATAGGACCATGCTGCTGTAGATGCGTTTCTTTTTCACTTTTGGCGCCTCGTTTTTGTATTTTTGTTGCATGATTTGGTGTTTGTTGTTGTTGTTGTTGTTTTGGCAAGTCGAGACGGTTCTTCTCGTTCTGAGCCTTTCATTGCATTGACCTTGTGTTGATCTGCATATGACAAACCTAAACCCAATGTAAATATTGGGGAAGTAAAAAAAGACATATGGCATGGTTGATATGCGTTATTCAGAAGCTGGAGCTGAAAGAGGAGTTTATGGTCCAGAACTTCTGTGTCACCAATCACTATGACCAGCCCACCAGATAGCCCCACTTCGCTGCACCTGCACTACAGCCTAGAACCACCATCAGTCCAGTCAGCACCAGTGGGTGGAATGACAAGAAAAAAATCAACATTAGTCTGGAAGCAGGACATTTACTGTCATGCTGCTCTGGAAGGACTGGAAGGAGACAGGTTCTGTGTGTTCCCGAGATTAATGTATTTTAGTGTGACATGTGCATATCAACCCCATAATAAAAGCTGAAGACATCAAAAATAAGAAAGACAGACAGTTTTTAAATGTACACAGGAACAAAGAGTTTATTTTAGACAATTCCTGTGGCCTGATGAATCTAAA